CAAGATACTACACCATTGTGAATCTGTTAGCACAATACAACAGGTTTTAGGATTTAGTATGGTTGATTAGACAGGAAGAGCTCTGTATCAATGCAGTGCATTGATGGTTTTATGTTTTTTTAGGTGAAAAATAAGAACACTACCAGTATTTCTGCTATGTGTATTGTGAAACCCTTGTTGTGCATTTTCATACCTGAGAAATCTGTTAGTACATTTTGCCCAGCATGTGTATAAGCCCACCACCAGGCATGTCCTCCAATCAGCAGGCCTCCTCCCTCTGCCACAAAGTTTTGGATTTCCTCCAAATGCTCAGTGATATACGCTGTACACACAAACACGCCGAGATCTTTCCTGAAGTTTGTCTTCTCACACTTCAGCCCTGACTTGCTGAGAACTTTGAGTGCAGGATCCACCATGACACCAACAACCCCTCTGCGACCTTCATCCAACCAGTGAATGGCGTTTCTCCAAAATGGAGCCATGCTCTAAAATAAAAGAAGGAAAGCAGGAAGACAGACAGTCATGTGTACTTGTGATATATAAAATATTTGTCAGAACAGCCCACATTTCACCCTATCCCAGCTACCATAGGGCAAGAAGCAAAGGACAGATCACTAGTCTGTCAGAGGGCTAACACAAAGAGAGAGACAACCATTCGCACTAAGATTCACACACACATTCACACCTATGGGCAATTTCAATTTTACAATTAACCTGACTCCACTAACTGTGGACTGTGGGAGGAACCCAGAATACCCAGAACGAACCCACACAAACACTGGAAGAAAATGCAAACTCCACACAGAAATCTGGGATTTTAACTTTTAAAAAATTACATTTTAGTTCTCTACCTCGACTGATAGATATGCTTCATGTGTAACCACAATGACCCGGCCACGCCCATAGTAGGCTCCTGCCAGGAATGGACGTCCATCTTCTGTAGTTCCGATGGGAAATGCTAGCGGTCCGTGGACTAGAACCTCAGAAAATACACAATCAGACCGGAGGTCGAACTCTGAAACCCCTTGGAGTAAGAACTCTAAGT